TCCCGGGAGCCTGTGGGGCCCCAGGCAGGCGGGCAGCAGCTGGAGGAGGGGGGGCCCTGGAGTCACAAGGACCTGGATTCAAGTCCCCGCTAACTAGCTGAGTGACCTCGGGCGAGTGACCCCTCCCCCTTGGTAGATCGGTACTGATGCCAGCGACCCTGCAGGAGGAGGGGGAGGCCCAGGTGACCACTCGCTAGGGCCAAGGAGCAGTGGGCTGCGCACGTCCTTGAAGGATGGACGAGTGAATGAGCTTCGCTCCCACACCACTCTCCCCAGAGCTTCTGGGGTCGAGACACATTCCCATTCGGGCCACTGACCAGACGCAGAGGGGCTTGAGGGCAAATCCCAGGGAACTCGGAGTCTCGCACCCAGAACCCTTCCAGAATGACCTCCTGAAGGCTCCTGGGAGGTTCCACGGGGCAAAGACCAGAGGATTCTGGAACGTTCCGAGGGGTCAAGCAGCGGACAAGGACAGAGAGTGGGTTTGGCCGCTCAGCAGGTTCTGAGCTTCCTCTTCTGTTCAGAACGACCAATAGGCTCTGCCTGGCTTCTGTGGCTTCCGTGAGCCAGCTGTGTGGCCTTGGGCCCCTCATGACCCTCTGTGGGCCTCGGTTTCCTCGTCTGTAACAGTGCTCAGAACGGCGCCTGGAGTGCAGACAGGGTTGTTTCACAAAAGTTAAGCAGAGAACATCTGTCTCGGGTTTTTGCTCTCGGTGGCGGGAGGACCAGATGTGACCTTGAGCCCCGGTCCCTCCCTCCCCCAGGGTCTGGGCAGGGCGGGACCTTCCGCCTGGTGACCATCTGGTCCCCGGCAGGGGCTAGGCTCACCAAAGAGGTGCCAGGGCCTCGGCCACTGCGTAGCCGCCTCCAACTGGGCCGATGCCGTGACTTCCTGGCTCCTCCAAGTTCATTCCCTGCCCGACAGGGGAGGAGGGTGTGAGGGTGGGGCCCTGGGCCAGCCCAGTGTGGCTTCATCTGGGATTCAGTGACCCAGGCGCTGCCCAAACAGAACCCCCAGGCGGGGGTTTGGGGGGTCCGTTTGTTTGCTGTGGGTTTTTGTGGACCTTGGGGAGGGGGGCGGGAGGGCCGACATGATGACACCCCTCCGTCCATCTCCATCTGCGTCGCCACCGGCCTCCAGAAGCCCCGCTCCGACTGGTCGTACTTTCTTCACTGCATTGATTTCCTTTCAGCCCCGCTTTCTACTCCTCCCCCTCCAGTTTCTGCTCCCACAGAACCATCCTAATTAGTTCAATGTGTATCCTAATTGGTTCAATGTGTATCTTGTGATTCCACCGTGTTCTTGCAAAAAAAACAACAACAACACACACACAAAAAAACAGTGCATACTGTTCTGTGCGTGTGGCTGCTTTTGCAAGCATGTTTCCAATGGACTCCGTGCTGGGAGGGGAGGTGGCTTCAGGATGCTTGCATTCCGCTTTGCTGTGTGCACCCTAGATAAGCCGTGGCTTCTAACAGCTGCGCAGCATTCACCCGTCCCCTCTCTTCCAGCCCTGGAGGGCAGTCGGGTGGTAGGTACACGGGACTGCTCTGTACTATTTTTGCAACTGCTTGTGAGTCTGTACTTACTTCCAAGTAAAGTGATAAAAAAAGAGTTACAAAAAGAGAGGAATCTAGAGATTGTCTCCCTCCCACTCCTGATTCCAGAAGCTCATCTTTTTCACTTTAGCTCATCCTCCCAGCAGCCCTGAGAAGTAGGTGGGGCACATACTATTATTCCCATTTTATAGATTGCACAACTGAGGCCCAGAGAGGGGGAGCGACTTGCTCAGGTGTCACAGCAGATCTCCTGCCTTCTGTATCAAATTCTCCCTGGCAACCTCTCCCAGGGACCTATGGGAACTGTCCAAGGAAAGGCCAGGCACGGCTGGCCAACCTCCTGCATTCCTCCCCGGCCCCAATCGTGCACTGGTGGGGTCCCTCAGCCTGGCCTGCGCCCTCTCGCAATCTGGGACCCCTCAGGGGATGTTGGAGAGCCGGCTTCAGCCAGATCCCACAGGCTAGGCCTAGGGACCCCACTGGTGCACGAATTTGTGCACCAGGCCTCTAGTTTATTATAAGGAACTAAAACCAATATCAAGTATAATAGATGTAGACACAAGGACCAACCCAAACCAATGCAAAAACCTGCAGACCAGCAGGGTCAATGGAATTGCTGCTTTTGACCTGCAAATGTGATTCAGAGCTTCCTTGTGGCCAGGTCAAAAAGGGAAATGTGATCCGTGGTAGGACCTGGATTTTCAAGAATGAGGAAGCAGCCCAGTTCCGCAGGGGAAGCAATGGTGTTCCCTACCCTGAATTCTCAAGGGCACTTCTCACTGGGAAGGGGGCTTCATCAGGGCACCCCAAAAGGGCAGGGGGCATTTCCATCGACCAGGACCTACATCGCAGGTGTGATTTTCACGGAGCCTTTAAGGAAAGGTGAGGTGGCTCGGGGAAGGCACCTCCGTGGAATGTGATGAAGGTCTGGGCTCTCAGAGTTCCAGGCTGAGGCTTATAGGACTCAGAGAGGTGGGGTTGAGGACCCCCTAGCCATCAGGGAAACAAAGGAAGCATGAGACTTGGAAGTCGGGTTCTGGAGTCAGATTTCCCAGCTGTGTGGCCTCGGGCAAGTTGCTTCACCTCTCCGAACCTCAGTCTCTTACCTGCAAACTAATATCCTTTCAGGGTGGTTGGCAGCATTGCATGGAATCTTGCA